TTTAAGATATTCCTTTCTGTTCACGGTTTGTTGAGTATTTTCATTTTTTTTCCTATTTATTTATTTGGGGCACAGCACATGCCATGGCACATGTGTGGTGGTCAGAGGATAACTTTCAGGAGTCAGCTCTCTTCCTGTGCTATGTGGGTCCCAAGGTTTGAACTCAGGTTTTCAGGCTTGATGACAAGCACCTTTACCTGCTAAGCCATCTTGCCAGCCCTATATATACTCTATTTAACATGCTGATAGATTTGGTTTTCTAGTATTTTGTTGAAGATTTTTGCATTTAGTTTTGGTTTTTTGCAGTAGATGGTGGTCTCCCTGTAACCCCAACTGGCCTGGAACTTGCTGTATGGACCAAGCTAGCCTCAATCTCACAGAGCCCTGCCTGTCTCTGCCTTCTGAGTGCTGGGACTAAGTGTGTGCGCCACCATGCCCAGCCTAGATTTTTGCACCTTTATCCAGAAGAATTACTGATCTGTTGTTTTCTTTTCTTGTGATTTTTTTTTTGGTCAGGCATTGGTAATGCTGACCTTAAAGAATGAGTTGGGACACATTCTTCCCTCTGGATTTTTTTTTTTTTTCCTAAGGGGTGATATTTTGAAAGGCTTGACTAATTTTTCTTTAAATGGTCTTTAAATGAAATGATTTGGTCTTTTGACTTTTTCTCGTGAGGTTTTGGTTCTTTTTATAAGTTTATTTCTTCTTACTTTTTTAAAGATTTATTTTTATTATTTTAAATTATGTACGTATGTGTGTGTCCATATGTACCTGTGAGTGCTGGTGCCTACAGAGGGCAGAGGTATAGGATTCCCCTGGAGCTGTAGTTACAGGCAGTTGTGAGCTACTCAGACAAGGGTACTGGAGGTCAAACTTGGGTTCTCTGAAAGAACAGGATTCACTCTTAACTGCTGAGCCACATCTACAGTCTTTTGGGTCAGTTCTTATGTGTATGTTTCTAAGTTTGTCCATTTCATCTAGGTCACCTACTTTCTTGGCATGTACTTATTTAGTGTTCTTCATGGTTTGTTTTTGTCTACTTGGTCTTCCTGTGAGTGAGTAGTGCTGAGATCTGCAAACAAAACCGTGAACGTGTCATTTTTCGGTTCTATCAATTTTTGTGTTTTATATTTTGAAGCTATGCTATTAGGTTTTATGATGGTTATGTTTTCTGTTGGACTGATACTTTATCACTATGAAAATGCCCCTCTTTATCTCTACTAGTAATGCTTCTTTCAAATTTATTTTGCAGACCTTAGTGGAGCTGTATTGCAAATGTTTGTTAGTTCTGTGGTGTATCCTTTTCTTACTTTTGGCTTCTAGGATATCTATTCATTTATGTTGTGGATAGGACTCTTGTACCATATACTTTAAAAAATATTAGCTCTCACAACTCTCTTTTAATATGACCATTTAATGTATTATGATATATTTTAATTTAAATATAATAGGTTAATCTGGGTGTTTTGGCTCATGCCTTTAATCTCAGTGCTCAGGAAGCTAAAGCAGGAGGATCCCTGAGAGTTTGAGGTCAACCTGGACTACATAGTGAGTTCCAGGCCAGCCTTGGCTACAGATGGAGTCTCTGTTTCAAAACAAAACAAAGCAATAAATGAAGTTACAATTTCTTTTTCTGTTTGATTCACCTGTTTTTTCCTCCTTCCTTGCCTACTTTGGGATTATTTAGGTTTATTTTTTATTTATTTATTTTTTTGGTCTTTTTGAGACAGGGTCTCCCTGTAGCCCCAGCTGTCCTGGAACTCACTATGTAGACCAGGCTGGCCTTGAACTCACAGAGATCTGCCTGCCTCTGCCTCCCGAGTGCTGGGATTAAAGGCGCGTGCTACCACGCCCAGCTAGTTAGGTATTTTTAAATTTCTGTTTTCTCCCTTTGTTGTTAGTCGTGCATTCTTTCACAATTCTTTTACATTTTTCTTTTGTGATACTGAGGCTTGAACTTAAGGCCTCATGGTGATTGCTAGGAAGTACTCCACCACTAAGCTGCATCTCAAGCCCTCAGAATTCTTTCTGTGGTCTATGATAAGCATCTCTGGCTTGTTAAAATGTAGCATCTCAAGACGACTTCAGTCCATTCACTGCTTTCTCAGCTTCCTGCTTCCCACACTTCTTGTTTCTGCTTCCTCTTGCTTGCTGCTTGCCCATGCTTCCTGCTTCCCTAGTTTCCTGCTTCCTCCCACTTCCTGCTTATCCTCTCTTCCTGCATCTCAACTCTTCCTGCTTCTCCATGCTTCCTGCTTCCTCATGTTTCCTGAATCCCCACACTTCTGGCTTCCTTAAACTTCCTGCTTCCTCACCTTCCTATTTCTCCATGTTTCCCACTTCTCCATTCTTCCTTCTTCTACCCAATTCCTGCTTCCCATGCTTCCTGCTTCACCACACTTCCTGTTCCCCCAACTTTTCATCTGAGATCACTTCTCTGACTGAAGAATTCATTACAGTATTCCCTTTCTTTGTTTCAGTTTCACGTTGATATATGACTGGCATGTTTCCCAGGACCCTTTGCCCTTGGTGTGCTCTGAACTCCAGGTTTTGTTCTTGAGTCCAGTCAGGTCACTGGATTGCTCAGCCTTTGGGCCATGCTTGCAGGAGGAAAGCTTCTCATGCAGGGCTCACCTATCTACATTCCCTGAGAGGATCTTCAGCCATGATGTCCTGCTTCATATTTCTCTAATGCCTTCATGCAGATGTTTCATTAATATTTTGTCCAACAGTTGTTTTTAAAACATTTTTATTTAGGTGTATGTCGGTGTGAATTTCTAAAACATTTTTATTTAGGTGTATGTCTGTGTGAATGTATGCCACATGTATGTGTGCCTGTAGAGGCCAGAAGAAGGCATCAGATCCCTGGGAGCTGGAGTCACAGAAGTTTGTGAGTCACCCAGTGTGGGTTCAGGAACCAAATCTGGGTTGTCTGGAGGAACAATCAGGGCTCTTAACCTTTAGGCTATCTCTTCAGTCCTCCCAACAGTTGTTTTTATTAAAAAGGTTTCTCTGCATCAAGAATCTGTCATTACTAAGATTAGAAATCTTGTCTGGTTGTTATTATTATTATTTTTTGAGACAGGGTCTCATGCTGTCCTGACTAGTTTTAAACTTATATATTGCTGAGAATAACTTTGAACTTCTGATTTTCTTGCCTCCACCTCCTGAGCCCTGGAATTACAGGCATACATTACTATGCCCAGTTTATATAGTGATGGGAATTAAGCCCAAGGCTTTATGCACACTAACTTTAAGTGGGCACTCCTCCAACCAAACTACAAACCCAGACTATTACCTGGCTATTTAAAAAATTATTTTTGTTTTTTGTGTATGAATTTTTTGCCTGTATATATGCACCACATGTGGACATCAGAAGAAGGTATCGGATCCCATGGAACTGGAGTTATAGACATAGCTGTCATGTAGGTGCTTGGAACCAAACCCGGGTCCTCTGCAAGAGCAGCCAGTGCCCTTAATCATTGAGCTGACTCTCCAGCCCCATGCCTTGCTATATTTTGACTACACTCCTAATGGTTGAGAATTCAGTGTGTGTATAACTTAAAGACAGTATTTCTTCATACCTTTGTATTACAAATGCCCATGATTTCTCTATATGCTTATGTCTGTACACAGAGAAATAGAAACAGACAAAAAATGTATATTAAGGCACATGTAGAATCTTTTCCTCTTAAACCTTTGGAAGAAATAAAGAAAATTCTTATCTTCTTGTCAGCTGTGTATTAAGCCTTACATTGTCTGGGTGTAGGGACATTTGAAGACTGAGGCAGGAAGATCTCAAGTTTAAGGCCAGCCTAGGCTATGTGTTGAGACCCTGCCACAAACAGACAAACAAACAAAGGCCTTACATCACTATTTTCCACATTATTTCTAGGTATATGATTGCACCACATGACATTAATAGAGTCTCTTTGCTAAAGTGGTGCCAAGGTCAGGAAACCTGGCAAAATGCACATGGAAACCCCTCCTTGGAGAATCCCAACACATATGAACATGTTCAAAGCTCTGAAATGTGGAAATAAATTTTTTTGGACTATAATATTCTTTTTTTTGAGGGACTATGGATCCTCATCTCATGGGATGCCAACATTCTGAAGTTAAATCTAGGGAGAAACACACTGCCTTACAGCAAACCCCAATCCACAAAGCCTCCCACCTACTGTTTCCTCCCACGGGATGCTCCAAGGAGACTCTGACAGTGTGAACATTAGGTGGTGGATTTGGAAGGTCTAAGCCTATCTACTCTTTAGTGGTTACATAGGGCAGAACTTGGGGGGAGGTTTGGGCATTCCCAACTCTTTGCTTGTGTCTCCACTTGCTCAGGTTTCCTTTGTATCAGCCCAGCTCAGTATGGAACACCCATGTGTGCTTGTGGCAATTGCTTTTTGATTTCATAAGATCAAACTCTCCTTTATTTCACCTACCTTGTAGAGGTCTTGCTGCCCCACTATGTGCAGGTAAGAGGGTGAGGCAATTGTGGTGGAACACATAGAGCTTCTGCTCAGGAGCTAAGAAGCCTGGGCTCAAATTTTGGTGCTAAGTGATGTAGGGAGAGTTAACCGTAGAGGAGTGGTCAGAGCACAGGCTTTGCTGTCAGATACACTGGGCCTTTCCACTTCCTTCATGCATCACTTCACCTTCTTGACCCTTGGGTTCCTTACCACATAGGGAGAAGGAGATAAGATGATGCATGTCAAACACAATATCTGGGGCAGAGCAGGTACCTGGAAGATGTCAGCAATGTTTCATCCAAATCTGATCCTTCATATGGGTTTGAAGAGAACCTTTCATGATACTTGAGAGTCAAATAAAATGTGAATACATGAGTTTGTAAACTCAGAGATAAAGGAGCATCTGAGCAGTTTTACTTTTGCTATTGCTCTCTCTGCTGCCTCATCCCATCTGGCTGGGCGGGCAGGGTGTGTGGATCACACCAGCCTTCTTCCCTATGCTCAGGCAGAACCATTTTTCCATGACAGAACATTGGGAAGAAGATGTCCTGCCAGCAATTCATTGCCAACTTGGACCAGCTGAATGACGGCCAAGACTTTGCCAAAGACCTGCTGAAGGTATTACCTGCTAAGGGCTCCCATACCTACCCCCAGCGCTGCCCCCATGTGTCTTGAAAGAATTCTTACCCCACTAAATCTTGACATTCTAGACCCATAATACTGGAACCAGGGCCCCATCACTCTGGGACACAGTTAGAGACTTCCCAGCTCTTCAGTTGACTGCTTTGTGTTACCTAAGAAAAGTAGAGTTCTAGGCTCTGTGTGCTCTGTTTTTAGTGTTCCACTTACCATCGTTGCTGTCACAGTAATAACCATAACTGTCACCAGTTGTTATGTGCCACCCACCATCACATCTACTACTACCACTATCACCACCACTACCATCATCTCTACCACCACCTCTACCTCCACCACTTTTACCACCTCCACCAACATCACCACTACCACTACCTCTACCACCACCATTACTACCACCACCACCACCTATACCACCTCCATTAACACCACCACCACCACCACCTTCACCACCATCACCACTACCACCTCCTCCTCCACCACCACCTCCGCCACTTCTACCACCTCCACGAACATCACCACTCCTAGTACCCCAACATCACTACCACCACCACTATAGTCATCGCCACAGGGAAAAGCCCACTCATTCCTCCATTACCAGTAATGAATAGAATTAGTTTTCTTTGAGGCTGAAGTCCAGGGTGGAGCTCAGGATTTAGATAAAGAAGAGCAGATGGGGAGACGAAGATGATTAGCTGATTTTAGATCAATGTTTTCTAACAACCTGTGGTGCCAGGATGGGAGTTGAATCATGAATATAGAGGAAGATAGATACAATTATGTGTCAATTGCAAATAAAACTAAGAAAGAGAACATTATCTATATCTCTCTTTGTAACATAATTATCTGCCTCACCATCAAGAAGTACTTGTTGATGGGGATTGGAGAGATGGCTTAGTGGTTAAGAGGACTGGCTGCTCTTTCAGAGGACCTTGGTTTGATTCCCAGTACCCACATGGCAGCTAACAATACAGAGATACCTACACACCCATGTTCATTACGGCACTATTCACAATAGTCAAATTATGGAATCAGCCTAGGTGTCTATCAACAGGTGGATGGACACAGAAAATGTGGTGTGTATATACAGTGAAGTTTTATTTGGCCAGAAAGAATTAAATTATTAGGGCTGGAGAGATGGCTCAGTGGTTAAGAGCACTGGCTGCTCTTGCAAAGGACCAGGGTTTGGTTCCCAGCGTATGGCAGCTAGCAACCATCCTTAACTCCAGTTCCAGGGGATCTGATGCCCTCTTCTGACCTCTGTGGGCATTGCATGATACTGGTGCACTTACATACATGCAGGCACTACACGCAGGCACTACATTCATACACATGAATAAAAATAGACTATATTATTAAAAAGAAGTACTTGTTGAGAACATGTCTATGAGAGGAAGCCATCACCCATTCATTCACTTCTTCCCATGTACCCACCCATCCTTTGCCCACTTTTTCATCCATCCACACAGTTCCTTATGCATGGGTATATTCATCCACACAGCCACATAATCACTTACCTGCCCATATAACCACCAATTCACTCTTCACCTATCCATATATCCCCAAATGCTCTTTGTTTTTTCTTGAGACAGGGTCTCATATAGCCAGGGATGGCCTTGGGCTCACTGTGTAGCTGAGGATGACCTTGAACTTTTGATCTTCCAGCCTCTACCTCCCAAGTGCTGGGATTTCAGGCATGTACCACCACACTTGGTTTATGTGGTTCTGGGGATCAAACCCAGGACTTCATTCATGATAGGTGAGCACCCTACCAAATGAGTCACATTCTCAACCCTCTGAACAACTCTTTCATACATCAACCACGTATACATTCTGCCATTCATCCAGCTATTTGCCAGCATCCCATCTATCCATTTGTCTATTCATCCATCCATCCATCCATCCATCCATCCACCCATCCACCCATCCATCCATCCACCCTCAGGGTTTGACTGGGAAGCAACAGCAGCAGGCCAGTTCCCTTCTGTCTCCTCTGATGTGTCCAGGCTGCCAAAGCCCCACCCCACCTTTGCCTAATGATCCAGACTATGGAACATAGCCAGATACAGTAGAATGGAATTCTTAGGGTAGATTTAGAAATAAAACTTACCCATTTGTCTGCCCATCCACCCATCAGTGTACCCACCCATCCATTCATTTATCCATCTATCCATCCACCCATCCACCCATCCACCCATCCACCCATCCATCCATCCATCCATCCATCCATCCATCCACCCATCCACCCATCCATCCACCCATCCATCCATCCACCCATCCACCCATCCATCACGTTGAGCATTTGTACTATGTGGAATTCTAGATTATGCACTAGAGAGTCAGTAGTAAACAAGATAGACATCTTCTGACCTTGTGAAGCTTACAGTCTCCTGGCTAGACAGATAGTAAATGATTGTATCACTAAATATTACCCATCCATACATCCATCTATCCATTCATTTGTTCATCCAACAAACAAGTGTGAATCAAGCATGAGTTTTACTCTATTAGCTGAAAAGGTGCTGCCTCACCACAGCAATATTGCTGGAGGTACATAGGGATTTCTTTGACTCCGCATCTGAACTCCTCTCTCTTTCCCACTTCCCCAGACTCTTTACAACTCCATCAAGAATGAAAAGCTGGAATGGGCTATGTGAGTAGTGCCCAGGGGCATGGGTATGTGAGACCCATTTCTGGGAGAGGGAGTGACTGGGGTATGGCCAGACATGCAAACCACTCTCCATGGTGCTCATCTATCCCAACCCTGGTGACCCCTGTCCAGCTGGTCAACACCCTTTGGAGTTAATTTTCTGACTTGAGTACAAGTGTGCAATGTTTACATTGCTATGGAATAGACTTAACTCTGAATTTAGTTCTATGACTATGACTGATTTTTCTGTATTAGAATATTGCCAAGTTCCCGACCAATGACAGTTTTTTCCCATTTGAAAGGTAGGCAGGTAGGAGGCATAGGTCTCTTAAATACTAAGAATAAAAAGTTGTTTGAGTTGCGATTGCTTTTGGCAGTGGGTAGCTATGGCTGCCCCTATGGAAGCTGTGAGACTTGGAGGTGCATCTGCAAAGAGGGTTGGAGACACTGCTGGTTGGTGAGGCTATGAGAGGCTCTGGGGGAGTCTGCTTGCTGAGTTCCCCAGAGGAAACTGTGCCTTTGGGTCTGTGTAGATGCCCCAAGATCAAGGACTCTACTCCTACTGGAAAGGAATGGCACTCTTCTACCAGGGCTTTACCGTAGGCTGGACCTGTTGCCAATATGTTGGCATGGTTTGTGCCACAGCTTCAGTCTGCTGGGAGTTAGTGCTCCTTGGGTTGGAGAGAGAAGGAAAATTAAGACGGAGACCTGAAGATGGGGAAGTCTCCAATTCTATGTCAAAGGTGAAGATAAACTTAGAGTCCCCAAATCAAAGAACGGTCATCCAAAGTCAGAACTGAAGACTTAAGGGAAGCGTCAGAGACATGAATCTGTGTTCTGGAGCTCCTGCCTCCAACCCTGGAGGCCAGAGGATCCAGGAGTGACTGGTGGGAGAGGCTGTGGTGATGTCAGGCTAAGTTCTCTCAGGAAGTGATTCTCAGGCTTGGTACCTTCTTAGTGACGAGGATGAGCTGAGGAAATCCCTGTCTGAGCTGGTGGATGACAAGTTTGGGACAGGCACAAAGAAGGTGACTCGGATCCTGGATGGTGGCAACCCCTTCCTGGATGTACCGCAGGCTCTCAGTGCCACCACTTACAAGCATGGCGTGCTGACTCGGAAGACTCATGCTGACATGGATGGCAAGAGGAGTGGGTGTCAGGCTGGGAAAGGGGCTTGGGAGGGATGCTGGCACAGGAGGGTTCCACCCTTGGCCACTCCTTTGGGGACACATGCACACAGGTGGACATGCAGGGGGTGGCAGGGTAGGAGTTACTGAAGTGGTAGGTTGCGACCATACCACCTGTGCCCCCCTTCTCAGCACCCCGTGGGAGGCGTGGCTGGAAGAAATTCTACGCGGTGCTCAAAGGGACCATCCTGTACCTGCAGAAGGTGAGAGACATGCTTCCCCAAGGTCCTTATGTCAGAAAGGCCAGGTCAGTCCTATCCAGTCCCTGCCTGTGGTGCTCACAGGTTCCTGGGCGAAATTAGGGTTTAGGGAGGAACTGGGGCCTTCTCCTATCAAAGGTCTGACTTGGGCTCACTCAAGCTTTGAAGGTTTGAGGGCGGGGCTTTTTTTTTTTTTTTCTTTTTGAGACAGGGTCTCCCTGTAGCCCCAGCTGTCCTGGAACTCACTATGTAGACCAGGCTGGCCTTGAACTCAAAGAAATCCACCTGCCTCTGCCTCTCAAGTGCTGGGATTAAAGGCATGTGCCACCACGCCCAGCAAAGGGGAGAGCAGGACTTTGAAATGCCCAGTGGCTCAGTGTCAGGCCTGTGGGACAGACTGGGCTGTAGAAGGGTATGTGGAGTGATTCTTGTTGGGGTGCAGGAGACACTCCATAGAGGGGACAGAGAAGAGAGTGAGAGGGAGGGAGGAAAGTGACACTAGAATGTGTGGGTGGTAAGTTAGAGCCTGGCAGTGACAGAGTGCATCCCACTCAGGATGAATACAGGCCTGATAAGGCTCTGTCAGAGGGTGACTTGAAGAATGCCATCCGTGTGCATCATGCTCTGGCCACCAGGGCATCTGACTACAGCAAGAAGTCCAATGTACTCAAGCTGAAGACAGCTGACTGGAGGGTATTCCTCTTCCAGGCACCGTAAGTAGGAGCAAAATCCTGAGTTGCCACCCAGGCTCACAGCCTGCAGCATCAACCCTGCATGTTCCACTCTCTTAGTTTTGGGGTACACCACTCGGCTTCTTGTGCACATCAGTCACAGACTAGATGTGTCTGCTTGACACAGACCAACAGCTGCTTCAGGACCTCTAAAACTCTCAGAATTGGGGTCCTCTCAGAATCACCTGGAGAGATGTCTCCACCTGGCCCCACCTTAGACCCATAGGATCATAAACCTGATTGGGCCTAACAAGCCCTAGCAGGGGCAGCAGACATACTCTGTAGTCCTGAAGGTCAGTCTGGCAGACTAGGATTCACCCTTAGAGCTTAGGTGGGAAAGATTCCCACTACCATTGGCCTGTAAGGCCTTCCACTCTGCTGCATCCTGTCCTCTGTGGCTTGAGATGAGGGTTGACATGTGTCTTAGTTTGTTTCTTCATTGCTGTGACAAAACACTCTGACCAGTACCAA